CGTCCACCAGTCATTTCCTGTAAATTCACAAATTTCGCTTTAACCTTTGTATTGTATACCCTATCCGAACTCACTTGGTGCACAAAGGATTTCAACAGGTTTTCAAATATTTTGTATACTCTGTGCCTTTCGCTGCGAGGATAGATGGTTTGGTAACCAGAACCGTACGCTGTGCTTAGCATCAGGAATCCATTTCTAACAAAATTCACAGTCTTGAGATCAAGAAAGCGAATATATTACTCACTGGACATGATTTTGGGCTTGCCTAGACGTGTGCTGCTTTGCAAAGGAGAAATACTATAGACGACCACGGAATGATCTGCATCATCATCATTATACACGTTAGCTAGAGGTGGGAAATACGTCACCCACTGTGCCGCAATACATAAATGAAAAAGGAAAATAAATACAAAAGTTACATGCCAGCTGAGCTATAGGTAACGGATGGGCATCGTTCAGATAAGCTACCAGCCGGCTACTGTGCATCAACGAAAAATTACTATGCAAAATTATATGAGGCTAAATAGTGAGATCGTGGTTAGAGAGGGAGGCTAAGAGGGATGCGATGGGACAAAGAAACTCACAGCACGAACTCCACTGACGTCCGCTCCTAGTCATCTCAGCAAGTGTATCCAGCCAAACATGTTCACCGTCTTTTGGACCCCAACCAGGTAGCCGTGACGCTCCAACCGAGGTCAAATCCGAAGTGAGGGCCTTCATTCCACTGGACTAAGTCATCGCTTGGCCATCCCTCCTCTTCTATCCACACCCCCGGCGCGCAAACAACGCACGTCGCGGGAGTCGGTGGGCTGGCATGCGTAACACGTGGCCGAGCCATCGGAACCTGGTGCGTGAAATAACGGTGTTGAGCGGTTCATCTCCTTTTTCTTTTCCATAAACCAGGTGTCGAACACGCTCGTTGCTCACTCGGTGTTCCCACTACATGTGAGGCAAATTGCGAAAGCACCGGTGGTCGAACGTTACTAGCCTCTTTATGTTCGTTGATCTAAGGGGCCAGGTTTCACAACCGTACAGTAGGGTCGAACGTACCGCTGCATTGTACACTCTACCCTTCAGGGCGAGAGTGATGTCGCGCCGGTGCCGTAAGTGTTGAAGGTTAGCAAAAGCGCCTCGACGCTTTTGCTATGCGGTTCGTGATCTCATCGTTAATCTCACGGGCGCTGATACAACTTCCCAGGTAGTTGAATTTTTGAACGACTTCTAGCTGATCCCCATCAAGGGTCGGCGTAGGAAGCGATCCCTGCAAATCCTCGAGGAGAGCTTTGCACTCCGATGGTGCAAAGCAAAGCCCGAAGCGGCTGACAGTCAGTGCTAATCTGTCATTGCTGCTTAGCATGTTTGTGAGCTGTCACAGATTACGGCAATATCATCTGCATACTATAAGTCAAGAAGTCGTTCTCCTTGGAGCGGATCTACACCTTGTAAGTGGTGTCCAGTAAACGCGATTTCCATGACTTCGTCAACAGCGAAGTTGAAGAGGAAAGGTGACAGCGGGCATGCTTGTCTCACACCGCTGGAGATATTACATGGCGAAGACAGCTGACCGTAAGCCCTCACTCTGCCCGAGCTACATGATTATCATGCCAGGGTAATATTTACATCTTTCCATGGCACACCCTTCCTGATTAGACAGCCCAAAAGGCACGTCCATTAACCAAAACGAATGCAACTTCGATATCCAGGAGCACGACAACAGTGAGCCTGCAATATATGTGACGGTGCTCCAACAACTGACGCAAAGTGAAGATGTGATCAATGCAGCCACGACCCCGACGAAATCCGGCTTGCTCTTCACGAATCTGGCTTTCACGAGTGCCAATCAGTCTGTGAATGATGACAGAGGCAAGCAATTTGGAGGCGATGGAGATTAGACTGATTCCTCTATGGTTGCCGCATTCCGATCGTGAGCCTCCCTTGAAAATTGGGACTATGACGGAGCGGCTTCAGTCGGTTGGGACAGTTTCCTGATCCTACAGTTTTACTAGTAACTCGTATAAATCATCCATAAGAGCAGGTCCCCCGAATTTGAAAAAAAGCTGGAGGTAGATCATCTGGTCCCGCAACTTTATTTAACTTCAATAGTGCGATCTCACGTTAGAATTGTGAGCGACAGGGTGGATCCAAAGGGACAGCCAGGCAACAGGGCGATCAGCGGCCGGCGAGTAATCTGACAGTTCGACTGATTAAATTGCCTTTCAAAGTGCTCAGCCAAACGCTCCAAGCGTTTTGACAAGTTGTGGATAGGTTGTTCACTCACGTCATAAATAGCTACACTAACACCAGGTCTCCTGCTGCTCGTTTCCCGTATCAGACGGAATAAGTTACGATGGTTACCAAGGACAGCGACCACTTCCTTCTCTGAAGCACGATGAGACCACCGGGATTCGCGGTCTCTCTTCAGGCTAGCACGGAGTTTTGCTCGGAGCTCTTTTCGAGTTTCATTGTGTTCGCTTCCAGCCGGAATATGCCGGCGAACATCGGTAAGTTCCAGAGACTGCGAAGGGACCCAATGTCCATGTTGACGATTAAACTTACCAAATGAAGATTTTCCTGCTGCTAGTAAGGTCTGGTGAATATGAGACCAGTGAACTTCAACTACATCCATTGAGCGCTTACTCAGCTCACTTGACAGCGTACTTTGATAGGCATTCAGAACAGCTGGTTTCGCCAGTCGGCTGGTGTCAATGCGGTAACAACGTCGTCTTGGGCTTCCGCCAAAACGCATCCGCAGGTCAGCACATACAAGTGCATGGTCGGTGTCCACACATGTGCTCTAACTCGAGCGACAGTTCTGGACGCAGCCTATCCATCGGTAAGTTATCGCAATGTGATCGATTTGCGTCTATGGCTGGTTCGAGGCTGGTGGGCGCCAAGTCACCCTCCGACAGGTACTGTGTCGGAAATTAGTGCTCGCAAGAAATAAGCGAGCATCTTCATACAAATGCAGTAACCGCTCACCGTCATCATTACGGGAGCCTACACCATGTTGGCCGCGCAGATGCACTTCATCAGTGGATAATTTTCCAACTTGTGCGTTCAGATCCCCAGCCAGCGCAGCTATGTCTGAGCTTCTTCTTTGGCGCAGGAGCTCATCCGATTGGCGATAGAAGTCGTCTTTTACCGAATCATCGCTAGAGTTTGTGGGTGCATATGCAGCGATGAGGAGTAGACACCTATTAGTCCCGCGCGACTTCGAGTGTTTGTACGAGCCAGCCAATCGGATCGCACACAGCCGGCTACTGATTGGAATCCAATCAACGAGAGTAGCTTCAGCCCGGGGTCTCAGGGCGACACCAACAGCAGCTTGGCCGATACTCGAAGTGCATCGTCCCCGGATAAGCGCAATGAGAAAGCACTGCTAGTGTCACCTGAAGGGGATCGCAGAGTGAGCACAGAGCTCGAGTCTTGCAGGCGGATTTCCGATAAGCAGCAGATATCCATCGAGAGGGTCGCTAATGTTCGGGCAAGTGCTGCCTGTTAACCGACCTGTAGCAATGTGCGAACATTGAGGCATGCCAATCTGAAGGAGGATCGAGTGCTCTAAATGAAAGCCGATGTACTGGGCTTGACAGCTTGCTTGGACATGGGCTTGTCGCCAAGACAGGAATGACACTCCGCGTTCACATGTGAGTTGAAACTAGAAAAGCCTGTCAAAGCAAGGTGGGGGAGGGCCAAAAATTGGGGGTTGGAAACTGGGGGGATAAAAGTGAAGCTGGAACGGGACGGTAAGAGGGATTAGCGTAATTGGTGGCATAATCAGATGGGAAGTCGTGAGCAGTAGCATCCGAAGTCCTATGCACTCTTTTCGGTGCCGCAGATAATGCACCGTTGATTACCCTCTGCGGTTGCCAGAGGATCAAAAATTTGTTTGAGGAGTGATTCATAGTATTGCGTGGGCAGGATAGTTTCCGGTTGCCCAGGCCTAGATATGAGAACGATTAGGGTTATCAACTAAAACCTTTGGTTCAAAATCCTGTCCGAAATGCAGCGGGTTTGGCGTTGGGCTACAAGGAGTCCGTTTTAAGTAATTAGGAGCCATCTCATTCCATCTCCCAACCTGTAGGAGCAAGAGGCTGAGTTTATCTGGCCTCTAACCACTGACCAATCTGGTATGAGTGGCTCTGAAGGTGCAGAAATGGACCACTCAGCATAGCTCAATGGATCGTTGGGGCACACAAACCATCGCACCACGGTAAGGTCCAGCCTAACTGCGATGGATGATCCGCATCGAGGCTCACGATGTGTGACGACACTGGAATGACATTAATTGCTGCTTATAGTAATGTGATCTAACTCTGTCCGTTGCTGATCAACTACTACTGAACGCGATGCAGCACAGTATCCTAAAATCCGGTGCTGCATATAAGTAACCGATTGTTGCTTCACTGTCACCATACACCCTTGCTTATATCCCTGTCCTCGGAACTACATCCTGATGAGCCAACTATCTGGGTTTCAGAAAAGGTTTGGTATCGTACGTGTGTACTCACCTCCACACTACGTTACACCATTCGTCAGCTGTAGTGTATGTGGTTCGTAGTTGAAGAAATCTCTGACAGCATCGGAACTGCAGCCAATCGAGGCTGTACGCCGGTACGAAGTACCGACGCTTCGGTGCCGCGCAACCACTACCTGTCGCAGCTGGGCTAAGGATACTGCGAGAGTCGCCGTGCCCCTATGCAGACTCGAACGCGCGCCGTCAGATTACAAAACGAATGACACGAGCCCGCAGTCAGTCGAAACAGCCTAGAACAAACAGCGTGTGGCTGTAGCTCTGTTCAGGAGTAAACTGTGTAACCTATAATGCTATTCCGAACGGCTTCAATGACGATGTGCGATGTCCTGTCATCTTCATGACTAACTGGATGTTTCACTTGCGAGATGTGTTACCCAACTATTTCTACGTCCTTGCTTTTCTCAGCTTGCTTACTACCCATTTGTATTTGGTATCTACAAGGATTTCTCTTGTCTCGTTTTAGGTACTACGAAGGCGGAATATCCTCGGTTTACCTTTGGGATATGGATCAGGGATTTGCTGGGGTCATTCTGATCAAGAAAGCAGGCGATGCGAAGTTGGCCAGTGGATGTTGGGACTCGATTCATGTCATTGACGTAATTGTGAGTTGAGCTGCTGTAGCGTTTCTCTAAAGAGAGGGAAGTTTTATCCCAGCGACATCACTTCACGTCCTATTACTTAAGTAGTTGATCGTACTTGTGCCTCCATTGACGAGCAGAGTAGCGGCGACCATCAGGTCCAATTGTGTACAGCTGTTTGTCACTGGAACTCCCGAGTACTTGCTGATGCGAGCTACCTTACCTCGAACAGGAGCGTTTTTAAAGATTTATCGGAATATCATTGCTTTGCTTTCATTTGTGTGGTTTAACAGGGTGTCGGTTAAGTAACCCTGGGGATCTTTTCCCAAATCATTCTCCTTCCACAGCTCATTCGGTCCACTCATTTCCATTAACTTGCTCACCACCTATTTAGTTGTCTGCCGGTCACCATCCCCCATCGCTCCTCGTTCGAAACACATTTCAAATAAGGATTGGTCGGTCCCAACACTTCAGTGAACGTTTTTACTCATTTCTCTCTGTCTCGTTGACCTCAATCGCGATAGTCCAGCCGGATTATTAGCATGGTCTCCGTTCGGACAGAAAGTGATTGTATCGTCTTTCGGGCGCTTTTTCGGAGTGACTGCGTAATAACACATTACCGGTAAACTGCTGTATAGGCAATGATTTGCGTTGGATCGTTTTTTCGTTTGGTGGTCTGTCAATCGGATTATGGACAGTAAGCGGGCTTGATTACCAATTGAATACTGTGAAGAACGTGGTTAGCGAAACCAGCGAATAGTCGTGGCAGCACGCTCGCCTTATCACCTTGAGTACTGTTTACAACCACGTCCTGCGTACCCCATGAACGGAACTAGACTAGCACCATACATCTATTCGATCGGCTTACTATGAATCTTTCCTCGAACAATTTCCTGATGCTCTGGTCACCGCAGAGGATAATCTACGGTGCCCTATCTGCTGCATTGAGCAGGGTGGATAGGGGTTTGGATGCTACTATTCAAGCTTTCCCGTCTTCTTATTCCCCCTATTAAATAAATAAATAAATAAATCTTTTATTCTCAACAAGGTGAGGCACGCCTTTACGGGCATGATCATTTTGACATAACGATGCATGATCAAGAATGTGCGAAAAGCCGATATGTTTGCGAGAGCAGTTTGTGTTTGTGTAGGGGGGTATGTATGTGTCATTGTGTGTGTACGTGCATGTAGCTGTGTATTTTATGCTTGTAGTTTTTCTGCTCCAATCTTCAATGTTCGATATCGTCATCAATATGCGAGTAAGAGATTGGTGTCCGTGGGTTGGATAGAATTATCCGGATATCCACAAGGCAGTGACTTTATTTTGTGGCGAGTCACGACCGCCACAGACATTTGTGGCTTTTTAAAGGGAGAACGCTTGCCAGGCGAAACTCACCACGTCCTGGAACACTGCCGCCGAACTATTTGCTGGAACGGGTTAAACCCGAACCAACCAGCTGACACCACGAGGAGGTTGTTCGGCTAGCCAGTCTTACGCTTTTCCTTCTTACCGTCCCGTTCCAGCTTCACTTTTATCCCCCCAGTTTCCAACCCCCCAATTTTTGGCCCTCCCCCACCTTGCTTTGACAGGCTTTTCTAGTTTCAACTCACATGTGAACGCGGAGTGTCATTCCTGTCTTGTCGACAAGCCCATGTCCAAGCAAGCTGTCAAGCCCAGTACATCGGCTTTCATTTAGAGCACTCGATCCTCCTTCAGATTGGCATGCCTCAATGTTCGCACATTGCTACAGGTCGGTTAACAGGCAGCACTTGTCCGAACATTAGAGACCCTCTCGATGGATATTTGCTGCTTATCGGAAATCCGCCTGCAAGACCAAACCTCTGTGCTCACTCTGCGATCCCCTTCAGGTGACACTAGCAGTGCTTTCTTATTGCGCTTATCCGGGGACGATGCACTTCGAGTATCGGCCAAGCTGCTGTTGGTGTCGCCCTGAGACCCCGGGCTGAAGCTACTCTCGTTGATTGGATTCCAATCAGTAGCCGGCTGTGTGCGATCCGATTGGCTGGCTCGTACAAACACTCGAAGTCGCGCGGGACTAATAGGTGTCTACTCCTCGTCACTGCATATGCACCCACAAACTCTAGCGATGATTCGGTAAAAGACGACTTCTCTCGCCAATCGGATGAGCTCCTGCGCCAAAGAAGAAGCTCAGACATAGCTGCGCTGGCTGGGGATCTGAACGCACAAGTTGGAAAATTATCCACTGATGAAGTGCATCTGCGCGGCCAACATGGTGTAGGCTCCCGTAATGATGACGGTGAGCGGTTACTGCATTTGTATGAAGATGCTCGCTTATTTCTTGCGAGCACTAATTTTCGACACAGTACCTGTCGGAAGGTGACTTGGCGCCCACCAGCCTCGAACCAGCCATAGACGCAAATCGATCACATTGCGATAACTTACCGATGGATAGGCTGCGTCCAGAACTGTCGCTCGAGTTAGAGCACATGTGTGGACACCGACCATGCACTTGTATGTGCTGACCTGCGGATGCGTTTTGGCGGAAGCCCAAGACGACGTTGTTACCGCATTGACACCAGCCGACTGGCGAAACCAGCTGTTCTGAATGCCTATCAAAGTACGCTGTCAAGTGAGCTGAGTAAGCGCTCAATGGATGTAGTTGAGGTTCACTGGTCTCATATTCACCAGACCTTACTAGCAGCAGGAAAATCTTCATTTGGTAAGTTTAATCGTCAACATGGACATTGGGTCCCTTCGCAGTCTCTGGAACTTACCGATGTTCGCCGGCATATTCCGGCTGGAAGCGAACACAACGAAACTCGAAAAGAGATCCGAGCAAAACTCCGTGCTAGCCTGAAGAGAGACCGCGAATCCCGGTGGTCTTATCGTGCTTCAGAGAAGGAAGTGGTCGCTGTCCTTGGTAACCATCGTAACTTATTCCGTCTGATACAGGAAACGAGCAGCAGGAGACCTGGTGTTAGTGTAGCTATTTATGACGTGAGTGAACAACCTATCCACAACTTGTCAAAACGCTTGGAGCGTTTGGCTGAGCACTTTGAAAGGCAATTTAATCAGTCGAACTGTCAGATTACTCGCCGGCCGCTGATCGCCCTGTTGCCTGGCTGTCCCTTTGGATCCACCCTGTCGCTCACAATTCTAACGTGAGATCGCACTATTGAAGTTAAATAAAGTTGCGGGACCAGATGATCTACCTCCAGCTTTCTTCAAATTCGGGGGACCTGCTCTTATGGATGATTTATACGAGTTACTAGTAAAACTGTAGGATCAGGAAACTGTCCCAACTGACTAAAGCCGCTCCGTCATAGTCCCAATTTTCAAGGGAGGCTCACGATCGGAATGCGGCAACCATAGAGGAAGCAGTCTAATCTTCATCGCCTCCAAATTGCTTGCCTCTGTCATCATTCACAGACTGATTGGCACTCGTGAAAGCCAGATTCGTGAAGAGCAAGCCGGATTTCGTCGGGGTCGTGGCTGCATTGATCACATCTTCACTTTGCGTCAGTTGTTGGAGCACCGTCACATATATTGCAGGCTCACTGTTGTCGTGCTCCTGGATATCGAAGTTGCATTCGTTTTGGTTAATGGACGTGGCTTTTGGGCTGTCTAATCAGGAAGGGTGTGCCAGGGAAAGATGTAAATATTATCCTGGCATGATAGTCATGTAGCTCGGGCAGAGTGAGGGCTTACGGTCAGCTGTCTTCGCCATGTAATATCTCCAGCGGTGTGAGACAAGCATGTCCGCTGTCACCTTTCCTCTTCAACTTCGCTGTTGACGAAGTCATGGAAATCGCGTTCACAGGACACGACTTGGAAGTGAACGACTTCTTGACTTATAGTATGCAGATGATATTGCCGTAATCTGTGACAGCTCACAAACGTGCCAAGCGGCGCTGGGCAGATTACCACTGTCTGTCACCTCTTTCGGGGTATCCTGTGTACCTTCGAAATGCAAAGCTTTCCTCCAAGGTTGGCCTGGACCACCTCCTGTGCTGACCGTTGGTGGGGATCAGCTAGAAGTCGTTCAAAAGTTCAACCACTGTGGTAGTTGTGCCTGCGGCGTTGTAATTGATGACATCATTAACCGTGTAGCGCAATCGCGAGGCACTTTTGCTAAGCTTCAACACTTACGTCACCGGCGTCACATCACTCTCGCCCTGAAGGGTAGAGTGTACAATGCGGCGGTACGTCTGACCCTACTGTACGGTTGTGAAACCTGGCTCCTTACATCAGCCGACATAAAGAGGCTAGTTACGTTCGATCACTGATGTCTTCTGTTATATATGAGGGAACGCCTCTGTTATGATTTCGTATATGCCTGATAGGATTGTCACTGGCGCGATTGGAGTACGCCTACGTTAACGGATTTGAACGCTGGCCAATGGAGCGGATTTGCGTCGACCTGACGGCGTTAGCTTAGCTCGGGGTACGCGCTGGTGAGACGGAACTTGAGCGAGCGTGAGAACGATCCTAGCCGCACGTATTCGGGTAGACGCTGAGCCCTCGGAACTTACGCACACGAGAGGGGTTTACGGTAGATTCGCGCTAGTGACTTAGACGCGAAGGCTGCCCGGCTAACGACGCACACAAAATCACATGGCCCGACCGACTCCTAAGTGAGGCGAAGAGGAAAGAAGGACAGGCAGTCTTCTGAAGGCTCTTTTGCGACAAACAAAGGGCGAATCACAGCCAATGCAATTGGTTATTAAGTTAGGGGAAATTGATACCACGACGAGGTGGTAGTTTGTAAAAGACCATTGTAAAAAGGTGCGCAGTTGAGCCGCGTCTCTGAGTGGCTGAACGCTGCTGCGTTGTGGGGAGGAATCGGACCTCGCTTTCCACAGGCATTCTGCCGAGGTTTCTGGCGTGTTTTTGCGGGAATATTTGACGGGTCCGCAGCATCTTCGCAATGTGGTCCACATCTGGTGGGAACACTGCGTGAGCAACGAGCGTGTTCGACACGTTGTTTTCGGTACCTGAAAAGAAAATGAACCGCTCAGCACCGTTATTTCACGCATCAGGA